TCGTGCAGCACCCCCGGAGTCGGACCGCGGTCGACGTGCAGTATCAGATGGCATGCATGCAGCGATCTCACCATCGCAGCCTGACCAATCTGCGACTCTTCTACCGAATGAGCATAAGGTAACCGGCGACAGCGTCCCCAAACTTCGTCCCAGCAAGGATCTAGCCATCGACGTCTCTGCTGCCACGGCAGCTAAGCAACCTGCTCGGACTCGGCCGCAAGGCTCTCGGGCTGTATCTACACCTAGCTCGCGACGGCAAACCATGCCAACGACCAGTGAACGACTGACGCAGACTTGGACATCACGGGGGAAGCAAGAGCGCGCCTCTCTTAGTCGAGAGTCTGATGGAAAACACCTTTCCCCGTCGCCACACATTACTGGCCCTGAGCCTGCTCTACCGTCCCCTATGCCTCCAACCATTCCTCTCCCTCCGTTGTCCGTTCCGACATACCTACAATTAGAATTGGCCTCCGGTCGGCCGTCTCCGCTATACATTCACCGCTCCGCAATGAGCGACTTTCCATATGAATCGTCTCGGGTCAAACTTGAACGTCTGATGAACTTTTTGATGCTGCCTCCTGCATTGGAACGAGTCCTTTGGTTTGGTATATTAGCGTGTCTCGATTCTTGGTTGCATACATTTACCATTCTTCCTCTTCGTTTTATTAAAGCATTGTATATTCTTCTGGAGTCGTGGGCTGTCAATCTTGGCGTTGAATTTCGTTATGTGACAGGTTTCATTTTCAAAGGTGTTGGGCGAGTGTGGCGGAGGCGACACAGAGCATCATCGACGGACGAGTCTTCGAAGGTTGCTGACCCTGGAAAGTCCACCTCTGAGAAGCACGAGAACGGGTCAGTGGAACGAGAGTCTCGCAATCGGGCCACAGAACCGCGCAAGCGCCACCATAAGCACCGGCGGCAGAAGAGCATCCCGTCAGCTTTAATGCCAGATGACAAGGCTGACATTCTTAAAGGGCTGCTCATCATATCTACCTGCTGCGTGTTGATGCACTTTGATGCAAGTCGAATGTATCACTGGATCAGAGGACAGGCTGCGATCAAACTCTATGTGATCTATAATGTGCTAGAGGTCAGCGATCGGTTATTCGCTGCCATTGGACAAGACGTGCTTGAGTGTCTATTCTCGCGGGAAGCTCTCGAGCGTCGCCCGGACGGGCGCAGCAAGGTCTTCCGACCATTTGGATTGTTCTTGCTGGCATTGGCATACACAGTCATCCACGCAACGGCCCTCTTTTATCAGGTGATGACGTTAAATGTCGCGGTGAATTCGTACTCAAATGCGCTCATTACCCTGCTGCTTTCAAACCAGTTTGTGGAGATCAAATCCACGGTGTTCAAGAAATTCGAGAAAGAGAATCTCTTCCAGCTTCTCTGCGCAGACGTGGTTGAGCGGTTCCAGCTTTGGTTGATGCTTACCATCATCGCGTCGCGAAACCTTGTTGAGACCGGAGCGTTCAATGCCCTTGGTAGCTTGAGCTTCAGTCTTGGGGGGTACACATCCACGGGGACTAACAGCACGCCCCTATCGACTCCTCCCCGGACCTCCTCATCCATTCTGCCGCAGGCCTTTACAATTGTGCCATCATCGATAATTGCGTCCTTCAGTCAGGTGAACACGTATCTGCCGACTCTCGCACAGGTTCTAGGGCCGTTCTTGGTCGTTTTAGGGTCGGAAATGCTAGTGGATTGGCTGAAGCATGCCTACATTGGCAAATTCAACAACACGCGGCCAGCCATCTACGGACGGTTTCTGGATATCCTTGCGAAGGACTACTACACCAACGCCTTTGCAGACCAGAACCTGACCCGTCGCTTAGGTCTGCCGGTGATCCCACTGTCTTGCCTCTTCTTCCGAGTCTCCGTCCAAACATACCAGATGTTCATTACTGCCTTGCTTCCTCAACAGCCCTCTTCCACAGCGGTGGAGGCCACTACCCTATCCGCTATCCACAGCCAGTACGTGCCGGCTCCAATGCCCTCACCTCCTCCATTGACGCTGCGAAACTTTATCCCGACGTCAACCGCGTACGTGGGTGCCTTCTTCCGCCAGCTTCTAGCCAACACCATGCCATCGCCCGCCCAGTCCGTATACATCTTCACCATAGTCCTCATCTTAACCGGCTTCGTGGTCCTCCTGATCCTGAAGCTTCTCCTGGGTATGGTCCTGCTAGCGTACGCCAGATCTCGATATAAGGCGATGAAGCTGCGTGAAACATCCAATCAAGCCAATGCCCCATCGGCAGCACCTGCGGATGAATCCAACGGGACAGCACCCCGTGGACGAGCGTTTGCAGTTGAAGGCGGCCGACGATTCGGCGGATGGGGCGTAGTCGAGGTCAACGATGACCATCGACGATGGATCTATGCGGACGACCCTGAGGGGCTGCGTCGGCTGAAGGCCAAAGAAGAGAAAGACAAGAATACCAAGGAGGACCTGAACATGGATCATGTCCAACGATATGAGATGGTGGCCAAGCGGATCTGGTAAATGGTAGATAAAGATAATTGTAATTAGCCTTATGTACATCCTAGGAGTAATTATTATTTATTACACTCTACTTGAATGGGTTCTTACCTCTGTATAATGGGCCACTAGTCATCCGCTATAGTCTAGCCAGGCTAACTATCCCTGTTCGGACCATCGGTCACGTTTTAGTTCTTATCTGCCTGCCTAAGTTCCATCGTCCCCTCCTCTACTCTTCTGTGCTTTTGTCCTGTGTAACAAAATCCTTTCCTCGTCCGAAAAGCAATTGTTGTTCAGCTCTCCTTCATTATTTTTGCTTCTGGTTTTCTCTTATGTCAGCTGGAACGGTCACAAGCCATCATGAGCTGCCAGCACCCTTCACATCATTCGTCAATTACCGATAAGTCAACAGCCTAGCAAAAGGAAACAAAGCAGAGAGAAAGGTTCATATGTGCATTCTATATGCCTGTTGGTATGTATGTACAGTTATTCATAAAAGTATATGATAATCGCTAATTGTAACGTTGATGAGAACGCCAGGGCTAAAAGTGTTAATCAATCCCAATCATGTTGAAGAAGGAACGTGTTTGTTGTGTGCATGCGACATATTGCAAATCGCAAATCACAGGTGGTGCCGCAGTTCGGACACGTGGTTGCCATGGAGTTCTGGAATTTGTTAGCATATCTCGCCAGAGGTAAGTAGGATGTGGATGACGATCGCAACTCACCCTTCCATGCATCCAGAGCTGCCTTCTCGGCATCCCAACCCCAGAGGAATTTCTGGGTTTCCAGATCTGTCCACCGGTCGGGGTTCGATCCGCTCTTCAGGGAGGAGCGGAACTGCTCATCACGCGCGCGTTGCTCCGGGCCATCAGGCAGGTGGAGCGTGATGCGGTTTTCCGACCCGGATTGCTGGACAGTGTCTGCGCGGGGTTTCCGGGATTGCTCATACGCCTTGAGCGCAAGAGGGATCTCATCACGGGAAGAGATGGTGGAGAGCAGGACACCAAGGGCAGCAGCGTCTTCGACGGCCTGGGCGGCACCTTGAGCAACATACGGCCTATGGAACGTTAGTTCAAGACAAATTATCAGGACAAAAGGGGTGCTTACAGCATTGGGTGGCAGGCGTCACCAATGAGAGCCACGGAACCCCTGATCCAGGTCTTTAGCGGGGCGTGTAGGCACAACTTCCATTCCAGGACTTCATCGTCCGGTACCAAGTCGATAAGCTTCGTCACGCGCCGGTCCCAGCCCTTGTAGTTGTCGATCATGGCCTGCTTGGAACCCTTGGTAGTCCACGACTCCTCGACAGAATGGTTGTCTGGATGAAGCAGGACAACATTGTACAAATCATGGTTTCGCACTGGATAAGCGATGACATGACGGCCAGGTCCGAGCCACCGCGTGGCTTGTGGTTCATCAACCAGCGCCTTCAGCTCAGGATCGTTCTCTAGAGCACTACGGGGCAGCATGATTCGGTAGGCTGCATCACCCGTGGGGATGGCGACAGATGCTTCTTCCAGCAAGTGATCGCGGAGGGCAGACTTGATGCCGTCAGCCGCGATCACGATGTCTCCTTTAACGATGGAGCCGTTGGCCAATTGCACTGCGGCATGGTCGAACTGGACTCCAGTGACTGTTGAGTTCACACGCAGCTCCACATTCGACAGCGCCAGCGCCTGTTCAATGAGGGCATTGTGGAGGTCTGCGCGGTGAATGACAGTCTGTTGGCCGTAGGTCTTGTTCACGGGCAAGGTTCCGAGCATGCTACCATCCTCCCACCGTCTTACATGGATGTGCTCGAGGGCAACATCTTGGGCGTGGATCAACGGAGAGACGCCCCACCCTGAGTCATATCATCAGATGGGGTTGAGTAACAGGAGAAGTAAGGGGCGCTTACGGTCAAACAGCGTCAGCATGTTAGGTGAGACTTGAATACCAGCACCAACTTCCATGAGCTAAAGAAGGACAGTTAGCAAGACGTATCAGAATAGATTGGTATACGCACCTTGGGAGCAGACTCGAGGATGGTAACATGATGTCCTCGCATACCCAGGGTCAGGGCCGCAGCCATGCCGCCAATGCCTGACTTCATTAGTTACATGCTTCTATCGCTTTCAGGTCTATGAGACAGATGTCCTACCGGCGCTATGCGGTAATGTCAGCAACAATACATAGTGACTCGAGACGAGGGTTTGAACTTACCCAACCACGATCACCTGCAGAGGAGTCTTTGCTTGTTCCATATTCGCGAATAAATTCAAAAGGTTTGACAGAGTTTGGATTACAATGAAACAGAACAAAGATGATAAAGGAAGCGGAAAAGAGGGCCGGGGCCAGAAAATAAAGATTTAAAATTGGGGGAAAAATTCGGAGGTCCTAGGCTAAGGGCAAATCTGGGCCGTACAATATCCGTGGATGGATGAGGGTTCGCCACTCAGGTACGGGAGTTCATTGAAAACACTGATAGATTGATAAAACTGACAACAGAACAGCAACAACAGAGAATGTCAAGATGGGCAAGCACGCTCCTGATAAAGAATTCCAGAGCCAGGCTCAAACTTCGGTTGTCCTTCCTCCAGCCGGAAATGACGGCAGGACGCGAACCCCCCAGATCGCTTCTCCACCGAAGGAAGCAAGACCAGACCAGCCCTCCACAACCCCGGTGAGTATAGGTCAGACCAGAAGTGCATCATTGGACCATTATTGGATCCTGAATGGCGAAAGGAGGAGAAGCAAGCCAACCGTCCGCGAGGGTCATGTCGACCCCGGAAGTGGTGGGCGCGAGTCTCCACCTGATACTAAAGATGCATGATGTCAAATTAGTCCGCTGCATTGTGTACAGGAGGTTAGTAAGACCTGAGATCTTAGTGTTTGACTCGGAATGGTGTGCGAGTCTGGAGCTGCAAGGCAGGCCAGCGAAGGCGCTGAGGCAGAAAAACGGGCGAATGGCCGAACGGTTTTTCCTGGGGAGCCAATCATGGGACGTGATTTGGGAGTGCAAAGAATGCAAAGCCGGCTGTTCGCCCGCCTTCATTTGCCGGTCTCCAACATTGTTTGTTCACGCCGCCTTTTCTCCACTGTTTCCGTCTTCGCTTCTCTCGCCCTCCTCGCGCGGCAAACGCCTGCCCGTCCCATTGCCGAATGCCCTTCCATAATGCCTTTGTTCCAGACTACAATTTGATACTCCGACTATCTACACGGTGGGTTGAGTAGCAGGATCATCATCATCTCTACTCCTCCCCCCAATCTCTCTCTGACACTTGCTGTGCTGTTCTTTGCCGGTCTTACCACATGATTGCCGAGCTGAAATGCAACGCTCAGCCGAAGCTGAAACTACTGCTAGGTGATGAGCTGCCTAGTGCATACCATACGCAACCCACGCATGACCAGCACCTTCTAGCCTCGCACTATTGTTCTCGAAGCCTACTACATGAGGCAGTGTGATGAGATTGCCTACAACGGATACGAGGATTGTGTAACCTGGGAATTTGTGTTCTGCGTATGTTGCAGATGCTCTCAACGCCCGAAAGACTTGACCGATATCGGACGATTGACCGCAAACATTATGTTGCGATCTGACTCGACAATTGATAACAAGGATTTAGGGGGAGTAAACAGGGTTAACTCCCTGCTCAATACCTTTGATATCATGTAGATAACGACTTGCTCACCATAGACGACCTTGCAGTACCTGCATCCAGAACTAGGTCTATCCCTGCCGTCCAGCGCCAGCGCGTCGGTCGGCAAGCTGCGGAAACAACAACAGCCGCGTAAACGTGCTTGACTGTTCCGCCCAAAGTCTATAGTCACCGACCCACCAATCATACTATTGTTGATGCCTCTTCCAGAATAATCTCCTGCACATTGCTTTGTTCATGAACTCGGTATCACCTGGTAGACTACCAACCGCCAACTCAAGGACGATCATCTTTGCGAACGAAGCAATTCAGTCCTTGCATAAGCCAATGGGAACCTCACTTGCTGCATAGCCCATACTATCATATAGACTCACCAACCCCCTTCCCCAAAATCCTTACACACTCACAGGATTATATACTGAAGTCCCTATCCAGGGAGCAGGTAAGGTGAAATCTTCATTGCTGAGAGTCTATCACTCAATGGCAATAAGATCCTTTCCTTATTTTCAGAGGCAATATAATGCCCTAGACTGCGGGACCCCTACGTCGCAGGAGGTTGTCTTCCTCCCGGATCCTCCTGGCATGATAGTTGGTGCAAAATTATTGACGCTCATAGTTCGTCTCCCAGAGAGTAACATAGATTCCTGAGTCAACGATATCCTCAACCTCCAGAAAACATTGTATTGTGACCGAATCTTCCCATTCGGCTATTGCCTACTCTGGTAATTGATACAGTCCACCCATCCTCTCCAAGACCGGATGCGACAATCACCCGGAGCCTATAATGCAATACATCAAGGCAGGAATACCCAGGATCATACTACTGCTTGAAGAAGACAGATGGCCACTGCCAGCCTATAGAGAGTAAGCTTACAAAGATATTACTATACCAAGCACTACTACTGTAGTAACACCACACTCCCCACTCATACTCAGGGTACCATTGTACCCAATACCCACAAATACTATGTTAGTCGACAAAGGTGTCAATTGCCTTACATCCATTCCATCCTAAAATACACGACTTACCAAAACCACCCACTGAACAAACAATATATGACTATAATACCGGCAACAACACCAGCCGAACTACATACTATGTAGTAGCCCCACTGCCCACTAGTATTGCTGTCACTAGACTACGATTACTAGTGTATATTAGTTCCATAAACCATGAACCTACCTCTAGACGAGGCCAAGACGACTACGCGTGTCTATCAGATCCAAATTTGAGGTCGTCCTCACCTACATTCCTCTAGATTTTGTGGCTGGGATGGTGCAGCAGTAATTATCCTGGCCGATAATGAACGGAGATGTAAACGGTAGAAGGCTCCATTCAAGTTCATAATATAGTATAGTACTCATACATGAGGTCCTGGAGTCACTATAATTGTCTGCTATGTATGACATATCTTTGTCTCTGTACTAGCATTGAATTTAATCAAAATGATGAGAGATTTTTTTCACTCCAGATAACAACTACTTATATACGCGCAGTGGCTCAAGAGACAAAATTATCATTCTTCTTAGTAATCTATATATTCAAGACACCGCTCATATTGTAATTACTAGAAGTCGGTACAACCACTTACGGCACTATCGGTGGCTCAAACCGGACCGGACTAAAATAGATGTAATCACTATATTCAGTAATCAACCATTATGCTTCCTTTCCCGTCTGGAGTAGTATGATGTAACTACTACCTACTGGCATGGCAGCCTATAATATCTATATATTCCTACATAGCAGCAATTGTCTTTGCAGCAGATACCGGTTATTTCTTGTTCTGCTTCTCAGAGAACTGTAGATCTTGAAACTATCTATACACTACTACACCGAAGTAAGATGCTCGGTCGTACCATCCCTGACGGGGAAGTATCTAATCCAGGGTGGAAGGTATCGATGACTCGTGATGATAGTATGGAAGAGCATTTTTACCCGTTGTGTCTAGGGTATTTGTTTTGCATGGTGCGTGTAGTATGGTAGTGGTAGTGGTAAGTAGTAGTATGACTGGAATCAAGGAATGCGTATGTACTTCTATGATGAAATAAGAAGAAAATATTACTGACAACCCCTCAGGGAATTATATGCTAGAAGCGATATAGAGGGAGACATATATACTATGAGTTGCTATTTTCAGTAAAAACTTTTCAGTATCCAAAATGTCCCATGGTAGATTGTCACAACCCGAGTATATGCAGTTTGGAAAACAAAATCAACATCAGAGGCATTCTACATGCATAAGGAGTGGTATCAAACGCCAAATGTGCAACAGTATCATGTCAAATGATAGTGAGGAGAAAGACACAATTCACTACCGATCGTAGGTCAAAGAATGAAGAAGTTTCGCTAATTCTAATCGCCAAGCAAATATCCGTCCTGTCGTAAGGTAATCCGGAATCGGAATATACAATATTATATACATGTCGTAAAGTGTCGATCTGTCGTTAAGAAAATATAGACGTGTAGGAAATTAAGCAGTGAACATCAAACGCAAACGGCTGGATCGCTTCTTCTTCTCCTTCGGCTTCGGCTCCATGTCTGAGTAACGGGACTCAGCTCTGGAAGGTGCGTATGAGGGCGCCCTCGACGGGGCCTTCGATGGCGCCTTGGAGAAAACCTTGGAGGGTGCCCTCGAGCTGACATGCGACTCTGGTCGGTGGTTGGCGCGGGAGCCTTCACGATGGCTGCGTGATCGACGAGATCTGCGAGAGGATGCCATCGACTGATCATCATCGTCGAACTTGAATCGGGGGTCCCGTGACATTCGTGCCGTAGTCACATCAATGCCTGACATTGCTGCTGCTTTAGGTGTGATGAACTCTCCATCGACGGATGTGCCAACACTGTCGGCCTCGGCATCTGCTACGCCGCGCCGCCACATCTCGACAGTGCTTAGACACTCTGTGTTGAACTCCATCATGTCATCCATGCCGGGATCTTCCTCTGGAGCCGCCGCCGCTGCCCTCATGGGGCTGTTGGGAGTAGTGGTGGTGGCGTTTTGGATTTGCTTGACGATCTTGTAGCCACCAAACATGACAATCGTGACTCCGATACCAACGCCCGCTGCGATCAGGAATTGTGGGCTTGCAAGCAGGGCGAAGACAGTAGGGGCCGCAGCTTTGAGGGTCGAGAGCGCGGACGGCGCCATCTTCGTGGCAATGTTGCTGATTTCGGCCAAGGTAAGTGCCACAGCAGCCATGGCATCTGGGTTCTTCTGAAGATGTGCGATCGTGGCGGTCGCGGTATGTTGCATGCAGTCAGCTTCCTCTAAGAGCCACTGCGCCCGATCCACAAGAGTATTTAGTTCCGGGTTTTCAATTCTCTGGAGCTGGTTTTGTGGTTCGGGAGGTGTTGGCACTTTCTCCAGGGCCGAAGGGTGAAAGTCGCCGTATGCTAGATCCATGTCGACATGAGCATCGGACTTGGAGCGGCTGGTTGTTGGTCGCTCTGGTCCACGCATGGCGACGTCATGGGTAGTATGACGGCGGACCATTTCGCCTGGTCGAACAGCATATGGGTCTGCATAAGGATCCTGCCATTGCACGTCTTCTTCATAGACCGAGGGTTCACGAGCGTAGTGGCTACGGCCTGAGTGGTATCGTGAACGGCTTCTCCGAGAGGATGCGACTGAAGGCGCATCATCGATATGGTAGTTCTCAAGAGCCCTCAGTGCCTCCTTCTCGGCAATCTTGGCGTTCCGTTCCGACTGAAACTGAGCTTTGCGCTCGCGGTAGGCATTCTTGGCTTGACTAAACACGCCGAACAGGTGTTTGCTCTATGATCCATCATATGTCAGTATCGTGTGTCGGTGTTTCGGGGAGTATGATCGTATACGTACCGTGCTCACCACCTTACCAGACTTGTCAATCACAGCGATCGTTTCGCCCAGAGGAGCCATGATGACTGTATAAATGTGTGCTTAATACTCTATCACTTGATCAGAGTGAACGATGTTAAATCGACCCTTTTCTTGCTTGTGAGATGTTGCCCAGTGGACATTCAAATAGGATCAAGCATCGATAAAATGATGGGTTGGCGATCCACAAAATCCCGAGCGTAAGACCAGCGGTGTAGCGCAACCAGGCGAAAGTGTATAAAAATGGAATAATATCGACACTAGTCGAGTCGCGGTGGAGATTTGGCCCGATCTCAAAGTTTGCGAGACTAGAGATCGTGGTCCAGGCCTTGATGACGACACAAATCACTGAAAAAGCAGGGACCTGGGTAACGCAGATATATAACTGCGCTGATGGCGAATTTCTGAAAAGTGATGCCTGGGGTCAAGGTTCACAGTTCAGCTGTGGTTGTATTCGGAGTTTATAAGGAGAAGCACGATAAGCTGCGGAAGGGTCCGGTACGGTGCAACCAACAGTAACTAGTAGCTAGCATGCAGGCGGATGACCACGCCACAGAGGAGATTTCCACGCTGACAGGTAAGGGCAGCGAAATAGAGTACAGAGAAGGTACAAGGGACAAGAAAAAAATATGAGGGGGCTGGGGGTTCTAAAAGGACGCAAGACCGGCGGCGGCGCCTAAGATGGGCATAAAGCAACGAACAGGGGGGAAGTATCCGCCTTGCCAATGCAAACCGGTTGGGTGTCGATGAAGCTGGGAACAAGGCAACAAATGCGCCAAAAAAGATTGATTTGTTAGATCTGAATGGCTGCACGGATCCGTGGGGACTGTGTTGCTGTCACCGCACGATCCAACAGAGGGGACCCTCCATTGGCGGGGGAGGCGCTTGGGTACTGACGTGGGAGGTCAGAAAGTCGGAAACTACTTCTTGGGAAGTGCCTTGGGGGGTGTACCTGACGAAGGATGCAGGGAGAGACGGCAGCACAAGTCCCAGTTGGATGCCTGAAGACCCCCTCAGCCTTAAGGAAAGGAAAGAAGCATGGATCATCGCTGCATTTCTTGGGAAAATTTGATCAAAGCATGACTAGGAGGGACAGGGGAGGGACCCGTATCTATCGCTCATACTAACACCTGGATTGCCTGATTAGGGAAGTCCCCGATTGTGGGTGGAGAGAAGGAAGAAAGGAAGAGGGGGAACGGTAGGTGCCTGAGGACAGACGGCAGGAATGGCGGTGATGTTGCAGCTCGTGATTGGTTGATTATGGCACCGCCACTGTGGCTGGTGCATCACCCACTAAGGAGTGTCCACGGGTTTTCCGGTCAGTAACACAGTATTCTAGATGGTTATATCCTTTACCATACACACTCTTCCTACTTACTAGTACTTCCACCACCAGGTAGTAGATACCCCAAAGCTACTTACAGAGTATAGGCAACAGCTACTACTTACCCTCACACACCAGTAGCTGACTGGCTGATTTTAGTGGCAATCGCCACCCACTATTCTTATATTAACATAGATGAAGATCGATTTGCTTGTTTTTCCAGAGACTTCCCCCTTCTCCCTTTTGTTCACATGATTCAATAGAACGAGCCAAAGATTTCCCATAACCCCTGTCAAGAGCTGAACACCTTTTAATTATGGCGACCCAACTAACGGGCTCCGACAGCTCGTTCTTTATCTCCATCTGCAACCAGTCGTTGATAGTCAGCGCGCTGAATAAACCAAGTGCGTCAGGACGCGTTATCAAATCCCGACCTCCCACGTTATGTATCTAGTCCGTCTGTCGCAAGCTGTGGTCACACTTCTACCCCTTAATTCAAACAGTTGCCTATAAATTCCACTTCCTTCATCAGGACACGCATATGCCTTCACCAATAAAGCCAACGTGGACTCGCTGAATGCATATTCATGAATCATGTCGCAGTGCAATACTGAGACTTTGATAGCACGTCTGCTTTTAAAACCTAGGTTAGTGATTCCTGTCCCCATATTCGAGCCCCTGCATCCCTGCTTGAGGGCCAAAGAGGCCAGATCAAAATGCCATGTAAGCCGGGGGAAGATCCCATCGCTCATTGACCGCAGAGATAGGCGTTGCTGGAAGCATCCCAACTATACACAACCACAGCCAGGTGAGTCGGAAAAAGAGCTTAAGACAAGTGGATGTTCTGTTCCGATACGCTTGCACCGCCACAGTTGGGGGACGCCCCACCTTGCTGGGGCCAGCAATTTCCTTTGCCTGTGATTGGTCCGCCTGGACAACCTTCACCGGGTCGATCACGACATCTCTGGAGGTGAAGCAATTGTGTTGTTTCACCTCTATCGACGTCGTGTTGCTTCCTTCAGCTTCACTCCTCCTTCTCCCCCATCTCGATTGATGCTAGTTAGCCCTGTTCTGCATTCTTCATTGTCTCTTCCCCATACCTTGCTGCTTATCCACCCGCCCCATCCATTCAAGCCTCACATATTCGCATAACAGCACATCACGTGAATTCCACCACTGAGCTGTCAATTCCAATCGAAAGAGGAAAGCATAGCTGAGATCTTTGGCTCCATTGCGGGAGCAATGGAACACACAGTACTTGTAGAATCTGATAGCTCATCAGATACCGATGACCAAACCAAGGTCTGGGAGTCCGATCCTCGCTCCGTGACGGCTCATCTCGCCCATGACTCAGCCCACGCGGCATTGCCGGCGGAGTGTGGTATCGGCCACCGCGTCCAAGCCAGTCGATCCGTCCTAGCCCTGGTTTTGGACAATGAATGCGTCTTTGCTGGGCTTCAGGGCGGAGACATTGTTGTACGTGGTACCTTGACACCGCAGTACTCCACCCACTGACTCATCATAGGCATGGTCTTTGGAAACATACGATCTCGTCCTGTCGGTGCATGCCCATCAAGAGAGCGTATTAGATCTATTCCTTTCCGAGGATGGAGAGCTTCTGTTCTCCAGCGGGGGTGATTCAATCGTCAATGTAGCTACTTCCGTATGCTTATTCATGCGTCTGCAGTGTTAACAAGCCGCAGGTTTGGTCCACGAGGACCTTCGACCGCCTTTACTCCATACATTCCCACCATGACGTTGGTGACATTTTTGCTGTCGCCTATTCGTCTACTCTGAAGACCATCTACTGTGGTGGCCAGAATACCAGCATTCAGGTAATTAATTGGTTTCATTTGATGGTTTGGTCCCTACTGACAATAACAGTGGTGTGATATATCACAAACGGATGCGGCTTCGACGCAACGCTCGGCCGCCCAATTGTCCCGACGGACGCACAGATTCTTCGATTCCAAAGGCCCTGATGGTTCCCGTGCTCCCAGATCGGACCCGGGTGCAGATGGCGTACACCCGGGCGGCCAAGTTCTCACCTTCAAGCGGGATCATCACCGCTTATTTTCACACCATGGCTATATTTACACCATGCTACTGGTGAGAGGGCTAATTGAACAAGCACCCACCGAGGAGGTGCTTCTGACCGGTGCGGGCGACGGAGTTGTGAAACTCTGGCGCTTGGATCAAGCCAAGGATAATGCTGTCCCTTCGCAGATTGCGAAGCTCCAGAACGGAGACCCGGTGCTCTCAATCGCTGTCGAGGGCTCATTCCTCTACTGTGGTTTGGCGGGGGGCGCCTTGAATATCTGGAACCTGGACTCCCATCAACTGGTGAAGAGGATTTCGATGCACACAGGTGACCTATGGGCTGTCGATATCATTCACGGTGTTGCAGTGTGCGGAGACTCCAACGGTGTCATTAAGGTAGGAGCTTTGAGCCGTGACTTGAATATACGATACTCATTGGTTTGTAGAAGTTCAATTCCCGATTCGAGGAAATCGGTAGCTGGGTGGCCCACGGAGGCACCATGTTGGCATCCTCAGCCGGTCGCTTCAAAGATCGGTACATCTACGCCAGTGGAGGAAATGATAACACTGTCGGTATATGGGATTTGACCGATGTGTCTCGAGCGCAACCTGAGCAGCCTCGCATTAACAACGGTATGATTATGAGTGATTAGCATAGATCACGCTTACTAATTCTGCATTGTACAGATGAGATGGTCAACTGCCTAGCCAAATTCGTCGCGTACAAGACGGTCTCTTCTAGTCCGAAATTTGCTGGTGAATGCAACCAAGGTGCTGCATTCCTACGCCGACACTGCATTTACCTAGGTGCCAAAACGAATCTGCTGACTACTGGGGCGGATACGAACCCGATCGTGCATGCGCGGTTCAACGCCACAGCCCCGAATAAGGTGGACAAGACGATTCTGTTCTATGGACATTACGATGTTGTTGGAGCGGATGCTAACAGGGATAAGTGGAATACTGATCCATATCAACTGACCTCTATTGATGGCTTTTTGTACGGACGTGGCGTGACGGATAACAAAGGGCCTATTTTAGCAGCCCTGTATGCCGCGGCTGACCTTGCGCGGAGAAAAGAGCTTCGTTGCAATGTCGTCTTCCTTATCGAAGGTGAGGAAGAGTCTGGATCGCAGAACTTTCATGAAACGGTTCGTACACACAAGTCCCAAATTGGTCCGGTAGATTGGATTCTGCTTGCCAACAGTTATTGGCTGGATGACCACAACCCATGCCTGACTTATGGTTTGCGTGGCGTTGTTCATGCCAACCTTATCGTGACCAGTGATCATCCTGATCTTCACAGTGGTATTGATGGAAGTGCACTGCTTGATGAGCCTTTGAAAGACCTCACAATGCTGCTGGGCACTTTGGTCGGTCGCAAGGGTCGAATTAACCTCCCTGGATTCCAAGAGCCAGTCCTCCCGCTTACCGACGCGGAAAAGCAACGCTATGCCGCGATTTCTGACGTTCTTCTACCTCATCATCCCGAAATTGCGGATAGTGATGCGCTGATCAAGTCGCTCATGCACCGCTGGAGGGAGCCATCGCTCACAATCCATGCAGTCGAGGTACCTGGAAGCAGTAAAAGCGCAACCACGACAATCTCCCGCAAAGCCAAGGCCAGCCTTTCAATTCGGCTGGTGCCCAACCAAGAAGCAGATGAGGTGGCCACGAACCTGACTCTGTTTGTGCAAGAGCAGTTCGATCGATTGGAATCGCAGAACGATCTGACCGTCGAGATCACGGGCAAATCGGACCCTTGGCTGGGAGATCCCGACAATGAAATCTTCGAGACCTTGGCTGAAGCCATCACCGCTGCCTGGTCACCAACAAACAAGCCCCAAAGATACGCATACCCTCCCATTCAACGGGAGGCGTCGGAATCCACAACTCCTAAGCCGTCGAAGGAGCGGCCCGGCCTCCAGCGCAAGGACTCCGGCGATAGTCTGGCCTCTCACATTGACCGGATCATCATGTCGACAACGACTTCCTCGGCGGAGAAAACGGCGCATCAGCGATCATCCTTGAGCACGACAGTGCCAACATCCTCGACGCTGGCCAGCAAGTCAGGGACATCTGTCGCCGATGAGCCTGCCGGCACATCGGCCCCCGAGGCTACCGGGGAGAAAACGTCCACTTCGGCGGCGGGAGGACGGTCTGGGTCCAGCGTGCGGCCCATCTATATCCGCGAGGGTGGATCAATCCCAACGATACGTTTCTTGGAGAAAGAGTTCTCTGCGCCGGCGGCAAACCTGCCGTGTGGACAGGCCAGTGATAACGCCCATTTGTACAACGAACGTTTGCGGGTGGAGAATCTGTACAAGAGTCGAGAAATTTTCGGTTATGTATTTTCGAAGCTGCCAGAGCGGCTGTGAATAGTTAGCTGGGAAGTGCTGGGATAGATGTGGCCGGTGATGGCTGGACGAGGAGTATTATAATGATATGTTAATGGGGATTGAGATGGCGTTTGCATATAAGCCTGGCTGTTATTGTTCACTAAGGTTCCACAATCATAATGAGCATGCTGTGCTTTGGCGATGTCAATGCTACCAGCCCCTATCTACTACTGTATATGTACTAGCCACCCCACCAAAGGGATGTCGGCTCCAAGAAATGAAACGGGGGCTGGTTTCCGAATTAGGCAAACATTGCGGACCATCCGTTGGTCGGGGATTAAAAATAGCGGCCGTCATGCAGGTGACACGCCATTCCCAAAGCGGCAACCGCGATGTTAGTCCACCGGCACTTACTTGGTGCGACTCCATCTTGCTTGTCGCTTGGTAGTACCGAATACTACGCAGTGCTACTTGAAACCTGATGATTGAGTAAAGATACTACGTACTACTACTGATTGAGAAAGTTGCTCCTGAGGCACTGACCCACGTGTCGCCTCACCAATGAAACATTTTCTAGCCTCGCGACGGTTACTTTTAAGTACTAAGCTTTCCTTCCTCATGACGTCTCTCTCTCCCTGCCGAGCCTGCGACAATCTAATCCCTACTTATGCCCATCTATACTTCAATATGTACACAGTACCATGGCTCGCCAAGGGTCACGGCCCATCTCATCCCGATGCCAACCTCCTGACTCTCGTTGCTTCTAACCCCCAACCCGGGTTGCATCGGGAGCCGCTCGCTGTGGCTGCTGATGGTGGAAACTCATCCAGGCATCCACCAACTCAGTTTCATCGAATAAGCATCGCGCTATGCCGATAATCGATTATCCACCTGGTCGGCCCATCGTGTCCAAGGTGCCGTTAATGCCCCAGCCGGCTGGATCGCGCCGCAGCTTCGTTAGGACCGCCAGACAGAAAAGCTCCGGCTCGTGATCGTTGGTCCACTTGTCTGACGAGGTACTGCTTATATAAAGCTCTGCTGGCTGGCCCGCCAACATCAACAGTGGTCAAGTACTTAGCCTGTCGCTCTGTATTTATATACTGTTGTTCTTCCACCTCAATCTTACTATCCTCCGTAGCGGTCATTCTCACTGTCAGTTCGCGTTTTTGCATCTGTTTCATTCCCACGTATTCATCACATCAATTTATAGCGACATCCGGTCGCTCCCACCATGGCGGGAATACCGTGGACCACCATTCACGTCGGTATCGCTATATATTCCTACTTCCGATCGACATTCCGGGACTTCCTTCTACTCTCTGCAGTCACCCTTGTCCTGAGAATATTCGACCGCCTGGTGCTCTATCCTGTCTACTTCACCCCGATCAAGCATATACCAACTCCTCCGGTACGCTCTCTTCTCGGTCTCCCTGACTATGGACACTTCTCTAATGTGGCTTCTATGCAGGGTCGAGCATGGTTCACCGGAAACATTGGCACATTCGTCTTGGTAAACCCTTATGACAGGATGCGTCGATGGAACCAGGAAATACCGAACGATGGCTTGATCAGGTTTTACTTGGGGGGCAACCTCGAGCGAACGATAGCAACAACTCCTAAAGCCTTGAGCGAAATACTTGTCCAGAAGGCCTATGACTTTGAGAAGCCTAAAATCGTCCGACGGTCTCTTGGCCGCATCACTGGGGAACATGGCGTGCTTCTAGTAGAGGGTGCTGAACATAAGGTGGGTCGCATGATTGTTGATTTATCTTATTTACGTACATACCTTGTAACTGATTCGAGTATCTGTAGCAACAACGGAAGCTGCTTATGCCTGCGTTCTCATATCGGCACATCAAGGATCTATATCCGATTTTCTGGTCAAAGGGCATTGAGATGGTGAAATTGATCGAAGCAGACCTGCAACAGCGTGCTAACCCCACAGACAACGTCATACGGGTAGCATCTTGGAGCAGCAGAGCAACACTTGACATTATTGGTCTTGCGGGAATGAACCGCGATTTTGATTCTCTCCGGAATCCAACCAACAAGCTGGCGGCCGCATACCATAAACTCAATAGTGTACCTCCCACGCGCTTTCAAAAAAGCCTCTTTCTTATTGGACTCATTCTCAATGTTCCTGACTTGGTCCACAAGTTGCCATTCAAGCGCAATCGTTATATCAGAGAAAGTGCGGCTTACATTCGGAACGTTGCACAAGAAATGATCCACGATGCTCGACAGTCAATCGAAGGCGAAAAGGCACACCAAACCACAGACGCAGTGGACATTCTCTCTATAGCAATAGAGAGTGGCGGTTTCACAGATGAGGAGCTCATCGATCAGATGATGACCTTCCTCGCAGCCGGTCATGAAACCACCTCAGGAGCACTGCAATGGTGCGTCTATGCCCTTTCCAAATATCCTGATATTCAAACCCGCCTGCGCGAGGAGATTCGCGCCAACTTGCCCTCTATCTCGGTCGAAAAACCCGAATCCATATCCGCCGCCACTCTCGACTCCCTCCCTTACCTCCATGCTGTCTGTCAGGAAGTCTTCCGCTTCCATCCCTCCGTACCGAACACTGTTCGCGTCGCCAATAAAGACACCACCATCGGCGGACAGAGAGTACCTAAGGATACAGTAATTCAAATTGTGGCCGCACTGACTAACCACGATAAATCCCTTTGGGGCCCTGATGCGGACCAGTTCAATCCCGACCGGTGGCTGGGCCCCGGCAAGTCCAACACCGGCGGTGCCACCACCAACAACGCCTTTCTGACCTTCATACATGGCCCGCGCAGTTGCATTGGGCAGGGCTTTGCCAAAGCCGAGCTGGCTTGTTTGCTGGCCACATTTGTTGGGAAATTTCAGTTCGAACTCCAGGATCCCAATAAAGAGCTCATACTCCGTGAAGCCGCAACAGTGACCCCGAAGGACGGGGTCTTGGTGAAAATAACGCCGTTAGAAGGATGGTAAAATCATAATGATGCTATGATACCTGCGACTGTACATTTTTCGGCTTCGTTGTAAATTTCTTACTTTCTCACAAAACCTGTGTTGTCACCGCAATTCTCTCAAAATAACTAGAGCTATTGACTGATTCTCACTCTACTAGCTATGATCAAGCACTAGCCTTCCTAAATTCCTCACCAAGATACTCAGCCAGTACCAGAATCTTCTCCTCCTGAAGCCGTCTTCCAAAGAGCTGAATCCCAGCCGGCGCCCCATCAAACACATCCGCATCGTCTAGATAGCAACATCCAGTCAGCACATAACCCAACCTCATCGACAGCAAACAACCCCCGTCCCCTCCATCCAAAAAAAGAAACAAAAACAAAAAGAACAAAAAAAAAGAATGAAAAGAGAACTTACACTCCCCCTCCGTCCTCCTATCCAACTCCCCAAAATACTCCCTCCCCTCCGACCCCAAAACATCCACCCCCCGATCAGCACACGTAACCGGCACAACGGCACTCGTATAATCCAACACATTAATAAACGCCGTATACCCAATCGTGGCATACTTCCCCGGAATACACGCCGCATGCGGCGCCACCGGACAAATGACCGCGTCGACGGGCCGGCCAGTCCCCGTCAGTTGCGCCGTGCTGTTCCAGTAGTCGAGGTACTGTTTCTGGTATTCGCGCTTCTCGACGTTTAGGGCGGCGATTTCTAGTGCGGTCTTTTGCGGTGATCCCGAGGCGTCAATTACGACGGAGGTGTGGATTGTTTCGTTGGAGAGAGCGAAGTTTTGGAGTACGTCGGCGCCGCCGTCGAGGTTGTAGGCGCGGTTCTGTGGGAGGTTAGTTGGTTTGTTGTTAGGGGGTGGGGTGTGGTGATGGGTTGGTTCGGGGATGGGGAAGGGGCTTACTGCGATGGAGGCGGCTGTTTGGTGAGAGGGGGGTTGCCAGTTGATGAGCTGGGATGAGTATTAGCAGTGTTGCAACTAAGAAGGTGGAGGAAAGTACTCACATTGTGTCCTAAACTCTTGATCGTCTCTGCAGCGATGCGCATCGCTCTCTCGACTGGTGGCTGCGGCTTTACCAGCCCATCATCGTAAAAAATTCCAAAAGATAGCCCCTCTGGCTGTCCCTGCACCAGCTTCCTCGTTTCTTCTACGATATCATCCCTCCAGGGGATCTCCAACACACCAGGATCTCCCAGCCACGGCTTCGCCTCCAATACCGTCTTGAACAACAGAACCAACCCTCTAGCCGACGAAGACAACGGCCCTACAACTGACAACACTGTGTTCTGTCCATCTCCAGAATTAGCTGCCCCCTCATACGGCATTCTCCCCACAGACGGCCGTATTCCATACAGTCCATTGAAAGACGCAGGGACACGAATACTCCCCCCGATATCCGTACCAAATCCTGCCGGTGACCCCCGCAAAGCAATCAGCGCTCCTTCACCTCCAGAACTACCTCCGGAACTGAGGAGTCTGTTCTTGGGGTTATGCGTGTAGGTTATGATATTATTCATAGTTTCACCTGACATCAACGTCATGGGGACACTAGTCTTGCAATAGAGAACTGCCCCAGCAGCGCGAAGCTCTTTGACGAGTTCGCTTTCATGCGTAAGATAGCGTGGGTCGTCAGTCTTGCCTTGGAAGGTGTTAATCCATCCGACGTAGCCCATCGTGGTTTCCACGCCCTTTACATGGAATTGATCTTTCAAGCTGACGGGCAGGCCGTGAAGGGGACCGAGTGGTTTTCCAGTTTTGGTGTAGTGATCGTCGAGCACACGGGCAGTTTCGAGCGCAGCGTCGAAGAAGATTTCATGTAGGCAGTTTACCTATTTTCTTGTTTAGTTGAGAGAAGAGAATACTAGCCCTCATTGTGGATGGGGAATATACAAGTTGATGCGCCAACGCTGCGCGATGGCAGAACGCCTCGGTGACCTCCACAGCCGTCCACTGGCCCGTTGTGGTTCGCTCGGTGATTCCTACGGCATCTGTTTCGGTGATTTCAATCTCGCGCGGGGATAGGAACTGCTGGATATAGGGGCCTGTTACGTCGCGCTGCTCCGTTAGAGTGGGGATGGGGCCCTTGATGCGCCATTTCTCGGGGATGGCGGCGAGGACGGATTGCCGTTTGGTTGCTGCGGTTTGTTCCCAGGGTGTGAGGGCCATTTTAGAATCGTAGTGGTTGTTGTTTTTGTTGCTGGGAGGAGTGTGTTGGAGGAGTAGGATGATGATGGAAGAGGGGGTGGACCATGGGATCTTATCAATGTGTTCGGTGGGATGATCATCCCGTTGTCTTACCTATCCCTTCTATTCGTCAATCATATGAAGGCGGGGGATTACAGGAAGTGGAACCAATGGCGCGGAGTATATCATGCTTATCGTCCTTCCTTGGGGGAGTTAGCTTGTTTGATCAAGGCCCCGAGACAGATAGTGCTCGGACTTATTCTATCAATTAGATAGGAAGGAGATACGACGGAGCGGCCACATTTGGAGCCTATGGATTGTTTGTGAGAGATAGAGATGGGCTTGAGTCATGAATGCTGGCGGATGGATGGGATGCCAAGCTGACAGGCACTTGCTACCCCGCTATATTGTAAGATGCTGCTGCGGAATATGCATTCCGCATTTCGGGTATTTCAGATTGTCACAATTCTGGGCATGACTATATACGGCCTTCTATATGCTACATCGAACAGTAAATACCCAAGCCAGCCTGCTGGACCAAGGTTCTATCTCATCAGCTATACCACCCTGCCGATGGCTGGACACTCATCTCTCAACCCACATGTCCTGAGTAACAGCTCTCATTCCATAAGAGCATTGGCGTACTTCTCACGCTCAATATCCATGAGAATTGACAAAGATAAACCTTATAGGGATAGATGCACTAGTTCCTCGCTTCTGCGGTATGGATTAGTGCCGTCCATCCCTCCATTGGCTTAGAAGAACTTCGCAGCTTGATAAGCTGCCAATGATCGCTCGTTGCATGAATTCATAGCTATGCTCCACTTGGTCGAGCCCATCACGATTGCACTTTGTAAGACTGCCCCGGATTCAATCATGAGGCTTCGCAGATTCCATTTGTCGGACGTTGAGGTTAACTCTCTTGCCCGACATCCACCCTCTCCAAGCATCATACTGGGTAGCTGCACCGTCATGCGGGCTTGATGGCCAATTAGCAAGCCACTCAGGACAGGTGTTCGGCACAATCTTTGGTACTGCATGCCAAGCAAAACGTGAGGTGCCATCCATGTACACCGCATCTCCGGAGCGGAGGCGAATAATCTCACAATCTTCGCCATTGTCATGACTAATTAAGAACAGGCCATCGCAACCAAAGCTGACACTGATCAAGCCTACATCACAATCCTCACTGACGTCGCGATGGGGACTGAGGTGGTCGCCAGCAGAGTAGACATTGAGAATAGCTGCCTGAGCTTCAGTGGCTGGGAACATGGCATGCAAGAGCTTTGCAATATCCATGGGGAATTCGGGAGGACGCTCTGACGGATACACCTTGGCGGTCCAGTCATATTGGCCACCTAGAGTAACCCAGCGTAGCTTTCTGTTCAGTATACTCTGGACAGTAAGTGGTTTGTGCACATTTGGATCTTTAGGCTCTATGGCACGGGCTGGATCATCTCCAAAGAAAGACGGAGGATAAGCGCCTACTGGACTAATATCGGCCGAGACCGCTTCAACCTCGTTCACCGCACTAGGATAGGTGATATCATAGTGCAGATGAAGGTTGGTTTGATGCCGGGGGTTAGACAAATCCCGGTGGAACAGACGAGATAACAACTCGACCTGAACTGTGGGTGGAAGCAACGAGGGAATCACTTGCAGACCTACAGCATGTCAACAGAGGTTTTCTACAATGGAGTGCCATGGGGCAATAAAGCTAACCGGAAATAGCACGATGGCTGAAAACAGGGACATCCCTAGCAGGCCGAGCACCCTGCAGATCCTGGTTCGTGCCGAGGAACTGGTCAAATACAGGCTCAAAATCTGCGCTGGAAATCCATTGCGTTAAGGAAATTTCCTCTGGGAGATTTTGAGGGTCCAAGGACTGCAGATCGATGATACTGTCGTCAGACTCAATCTCCGTAAGCGTGGACTTCTGGTATTGCTTATAACGCTGCTTGATGCCCTCTGGGGGACGCTCATGGGCGTTCAAATCCTTGATATGCGGCATTAGGATAAACTATGCAGCTGACAACTCATAAGTCAATAGACAGCCGCAGTAGTAGTGTTAGTCCACGTAGTCTTGTCCAGACTATTGCATATCTACGTGAAAGCCCAGAGACTCCGCCTTCCTGTAGGTGAATGAACCGATCTGGATAACTTTGATCGGGAGGAAGGAATGAAAGTTTGCCATCCGGCGGGCTCGTTCCAAACTTCCACCTTGAAGCGGGAGAAAAAAGCCACTGGCGGCAACCAACAAAAAAGGGTCAGCTGTCCACGCGCTCACCGCCTTGGGACGCGCGGGTTTGTTTGTGTACGGCCGTTGCTGACCGCCTTGGGCTCCCCACCAGCAGGGATGAAAAGACTCCAAGTTGAACTGCTTCAGATCTCATAGCCCATTCCAGGTAAGTTTAAGGTAAGTCACACTCGGGACGAGGCTGGTTTCGCTCTTTGGACCCTTGAGTCTGCTTCTTATTTGGGAATTGACTCCTGCCTCGCTTGCTGTCAACTCCATTGTGCTCCCAAACTCCTCGCATTCTGCTTGACGCCTTCTGTTCTTCCCCGGCAACCCAACGCCGTCGTCGTGCAGCCTCCTTTGTTTCCTGTACCCCGCGTGCTGGTAGACAGGACAACACGCTGTGTACGCTCAGTTCAATTATCGGATATATCAGATTAAAGTGATTGTGTGAGGAAGCAAAGAAATCAGCGACACATTTCATCATGGAGAACTACCAGAAGATCGAGAAGATTGGAGAAGGTACGTCCACCTCAAGGCCGATAACAATTGTACTTTCTCTTGATCCGACTCTTAACCGATCGCCCTCCTTCTATTTGGATCCGTGACTGACTCGAGTCTGCTTGTTTTAGGAACCTATGGCGTTGTCTACAAGGCTCGCGAGCTCACCCATCCCAATCGGATTGTCGCCCTCAAGAAGATTCGACTAGAGGCGGAGGATGAAGGCGTTCCTAGCACAGCCATCCGTGAAATTTCCCTACTTAAGGAGATGAGCGATCCCAACATTGTGCGACTCCTGAACATTGTGCATGCCGATGGCCACAAGCTATATCTCGTCTTCGAATTCCTCGATCTCGACCTCAAGAAGTATATGGAGGCTCTTCCTGTCAGCGAAGGTGGCCGAGGCAAAGCTCTTCCGGAAGGCTCTGCTTTGAGCAAGAACATGGGTCTTGGCGATGCCATGGTCAAGAAGTTCATGGCTCAGCTAGTGGAGGGTATTCGTTACTGCCACAGTCACCGTATTCTACACCGTGATCTCAAGCCCCAGAACCTCCTGATTGACCGTGATGGCAATCTTAAGCTGGCGGACTTTGGATTGGCTAGAGCTTTTGGTGTTCCCCTGAGAACCTACACCCATGAGGTATTTCTACAAAGTATCAGACCTGTCTCATTGTAACGTGTTATTGACCTTCCTCAGGTTGTCACCCTTTGGTACCGCTCCCCTGAGATTCTCTTGGGTGGTCGTCAGTACTCGACCGGTGTAGACATGTGGTCCTGTGGTGCCATTTTCGCGGAGATGTGCACTCGCAAGCCTTTGTTCCCTGGTGATTCGGAGATCGACGAGATCTTCAAGATCTTCCGGTACGCTTCCCTTCTTTCTCGTGCGAAGAGCCCAACATCTAACCTCCCTGGATCACAGTCTCCTCGGTACCCCAGATGAAGCCATCTGGCCCGGCGTCACCTCTTTCCCCGACTTCAAACCCACTTTCCCTAAGTGGAAACGTGATGAAACCCGTGCACTCGTTCCTGACCTTGAAGAGGATGGTCTGGACCTCCTCGATGCTCTTCTCGAGTATGATCCTGCACGACGAATTTCTGCCAAGCAGGCCTGCATGCATCCCTACTTCCGGAACGGCAGTGCCTACTACTCAGGACGTGCCCGGAGGAATGGTTTCAACTAGCCGGTCTACCTTGCGCATCATCCATTAGTGTTGGTGTACGTATCATGTGGACAAACGCGGCAGATGCAATGGACGTTATTCAGGTCCGACCAGGTTTTTATTTTACAGGCTCAGTGCCTGCACTTCTCCCAGTATCTCTATTTTTATATCTTTTGTGATGCCCTAGGTTTTCCTTCTGTTTGTATGTGTTCTTTTATTCATGGCGTTGCTTGCGGAGTGGTCTGGAAGGGACGAGATCAGGATACTGGATATTACAAGGAGTGTTTTTGAGTTATGCGTACATACCCATAAATGAGTAACTGCCAAAAGAAAAATAGCATTCTTTTAATAGCAATATTATGGGTGTGACATCGATCAAGTCCCGAAACATGAGGCAGCCTTGCGGCTCGTATTTCTCTGTTCCCCTGGTCCTGGCCCCATGACATCCACGTGGTGTACCAAGACTCGGTCCTATCCGGCCACCGCTCGGACTTCTATTTCCTTGACACCTTGCAACGACCTCAGCAGCCTCGAAATTGACCTTTTCTTCCTCAATCGCGAAGGTGGAGATGCCTCTCCAACCCAATGAGCTAAGAGAGCCAGCCGAACCGATGATCCCGTGTCCGAGCGCTTACTCTGCCGCTGGAGGGACCCCTCGTATTTTGCATGCAAGCGCTTTGCTCTTCTATTATTAATAACCACTGATAGCGACAATCTAGCTGAACGTGAGTTGACGCCAGTGTATCTGACTCTTTTGGCCCGTAAGCACGGCATCCATCACATCCTTGGCTTTTCAGTATCAGGGTTTCAAACATAAGATGCTTACAAGCTGAGTCTCAGCCCATGTACCCCTATCCACACCTCAGTCCGCCAACACGAACGGCTGTAGTCTGTTTCACCATGAAAAGTGTGCATAAACGTGCATGCGACTCCGCTGATCCCTCAGCTGCCAGCTGATCACATATGACTATATCGCGCAAGGCTAGCTAACCCCCGGCGGCGGCAAAAGCAGTGAGAATCATGTATGCCTATTGGCTACCGTTATTGGCGGTGCTTTAAGGGCGCTTTGATGCTTACCAGGGTCAAGCAGGTTAACTATGATTTGCTCAGCCTCGGATAGAGACACGAGGGGTCCTCGAGGACTCCTGACTATTAAGGCGGGGCGTGTGCGCTGAAAATGCAGGCATGAGTTGAAGCATTGGTAGTTATCCTCTTCGTGTTCATATTCCCTCATCCGCTTATTTATCTCATACAAAAGAGCATCTATTTTTCGTCGCTCATATAATAAATAACTCTAATCATGGACTGCGACGATCATCAAGACTTGGTCTATACCCCTCCTCCTTCCTCACGATCAGAGAGTCGCATGCGCAAAAAGCCAACCCAGCCACCACAGGAAACCATGCAGCAGTTCTGGAATGGCTTCAACTCCAAATTTCCAGGATTGGTCCATACAGTTTTACCAGACAACCCGTATGCGCGCAATAAAGCTGCCAGGACGCCCTCGGGTGTAGTCCAGGGACAACATGCTTCAAAGTCTTATGAACAGGCTCGGGCGGAGTGTCAGCGCGCTGTGGAGCGTATTGCAAGGGAATGTGAGCGATTGAATCAGAAGTATACCGACCCCCACTTCGACATTGAGGTCGACTTGAAATGCCGGAGGAGGAATTATTTAGAAGGACTGGATGAGGAGAACCTAGAGATGCTTCCACGGGGCGTCAAGAGAGTAACAGTAAGTAATATCTTGGCTCGAGAGTATAGTCCATGAGATGTTACAATTGCTGATTGTGTTACTTCCGAAGGAAATATTCGAGAAACCGGAATTCTACATCAACGGGCCCACTGCCTCGGACGTTCGTCAAGGTCGCGATGGTGACTGTTGGTTCATGGCCGCGCTGTGTACCATGGGCAACAAGCAAGGGTTGATCGAGAAGATCTGTGTCGCTCGCAATGAGAAAGTTGGAGTGTATGGGTTCTTGTTCTACAGAGGTGAGCTATTGTCCGGATTGAGGGGCATTAGAAAGCTAATCTCCTCCTAGACGGTGAATGGCAGCAATGCATCGTGGATGACAAACTTTATCTTCGTGCCGCAGATTATGATGAGTCTGTGGAGGAACGATCAATCTGGGATGATATCAATCGAATTGATACAGAGGAAGAGTATCGTAAAGTGTGGCAGACTGGGTCGCGGGCTCTTTATTTCGCTCAATGCGCAGATGAAAATGAGACCTGGCTGCCGTTGCTGGAAAAGGCTTATGCTAAGGCTCATGGCGACTATTCCGCCATTGAAGGCGGATTTGTTGGGTAAAACATTCCCAGATACCTATTTCGCTCGAACGCTAACATTTCCCAGGGAGGCGCTCGAGGACCTCACCGGTGGTGTCACCTCTGACGTACTCACCAGCAATATTCTGGATAAGGACCGATTTTGGAAAGAAGAGCTCATGCACGTCAACCAAGAATTCCTCTTCGGCTGCGGCACGGGTATATTCGCCAACTGGCTGGAGCCGGATTATACTGGGCCTCCGAGAGATAGGAAAGGTATCTGTGAGAACCACTCATACTCGATTATGGAGGCGAGGGAAGTTGATGGTCAGCGTTTGCTTCGGCTAAGGTACGTATGAAGCATTTTTCAATCATAGAAAGATAGCTTACACAATCCAGAAACCCCTGGGGTAAAAAGGAATGGACAGGAGCGTGGAGCGATGGCTCCGAGCAATGGACACCAGAATGGATGGAGAAACTGGGACACAGGTTTGGCAATGACGGCGTAAGTCACCTACACTTTTTGTGTAAAGCCATACTTACAGTTACAAGTTCTTCTGGATATCCTACGATGACCTCCTCAAGAAATACCAACACTTCGACCGAATCCGTCTTTTCAACGACGACTGGACCGTAACCCAGCAATGGACAAGCCTGAACGTCCCGTGGTCGGCAACGTACCACAGCACAAAGTTTGTACTAGATGTGAAGACAGCTGGCCCTGCCGTGATCGTTCTCTCCCAGGTGCGCACAACCCATGACCTCAACCCTCCTAACTCAACTAACCATACCCTCAAGCTCGACGAACGATACTACAAAGGTCTATCCGGCGAATACGACTTCGACCTCAAATTCCGACTCCAGAAAGAAGGCGAAGACGACTACTTCGTTCGCAGCCACGGCAACGAGCTAATGTGGCGATCCGTTAATGTCGAAGTCGACCTCGAAGTCGGACGCTACCACGTCCTCATGAAAGTCACAGCATACCGAAACAAAGAGAAGCTCCCTGTCGAAGAAGTCGTCCGTCGCCTAGCTCCCACTCGGCGCAGCAAACTACTCCAAATCGGCCTTTCCTACGATCTAGCGCACGCAAAGGGTATCGTTCACGAAACCGAAAAGGAGAAACGAGCACGTCAAGAACGCGAAGAACGGCGCAAGGCAGCTGAACGCAGGAAACGGAGAGAAGAGACTAAGGAGAGATTGCAGAAAGAGTGGGTCCGGGCGAGGAAGCTCGAAGCCAGACATAAGAGGCTCGATGCAAGATTCGCTGCTAAATCTGGCAAGAAACAACAACGACTTGTCAGGGAAGATGACCCATCTGAGGAAATTATTCCTGACGGACCGGTGCAACTACCAGTCAACGAACCTGACCTCACTAGGAAAGGCTCTATACCTTCTATCTCACTTGAGGACAGTCATGTCCCGGACCACTGCGTCCGAAGCGGAAGCAAGAATTCTCTATCCGTCCGGGTGAAGGACTCTTCTTCATATAATGCTGCAAAAGCTGAATTCTTGGAGGGATTCGAATTTGACTCTGAACTCGATATGTCTTCAGACGAAGAGCCAATTGAAGAAGTCCGCACACCAGTCAAATCCGTTAGCAGCGCCGGCGAAGGCGATGCCAATAGCGACCCATGGAATGCCGTCTGTGTGGTTGGCTTGCGGGTCTACTCAAAAGATCCTCAGTTGTCTTTGGAGGTTCTGCGTCCCGTGCCGGAGGATGATGTTGAGGCGTCACTTGATATGGATGACCCGTCGGCGAGTGCAGCTACTGAATAAGTTCCAAATTGGTCTGGGATTTGGTTTGTAGATGTGATTCCATTCTGTTTATGTATACTTCGGTTTACAGATTGTCTCGGTGTCTTTATCTCGTAGGCAACCTCGGCGCATATAATATAGCTCGTATACACTATGTATCCATCCCCAGCTAATTGAGCCTAATACAATATATTGCATTCATATCCATACTAAATAATCAGTGTGGTTAATAAGGCCTGTAAACACACAACTATTGCACTTCTGCCCACAACGACCAGTGGCGCATACTTGAAGATACCTCTCTAACATCAAAGACAACCCCATATTCCATTGGCCCGACGAAATACTTGGGCTCCCTGCTCCCGGACAAGCCGAAAAGAGGATGCCCCAGTCTGGACCAGCCGAACTGAGGGGAAATGACACAGACGTGACAAGCGACGGCACCAAGCCCGTAGTCCTGGTAGATTAAAAGTATGTCCCAAGTGCCATCCCCATTTGCCGTCGCAGAAACCAACCCAATCAGTTGTTATTCTGACGGTTGTTAATCCTCGCCAACTTCGCTTCCAGCAAGAGATGGATATTCTGCTCATCATCGCACAGATCCAACACCACCTCGTCGTTAGCAAGAATTCCGTCCTCGGTATCTGAAACCAGAGCATTCTGATTCATGAATAAAAAGACGTAAAATCGAGCACGAAACCCAACTGCTGCAACTCCGTACATGGTCTGCACGTTGCCTAGCCTGTTTCTGAAGGCTAACATGTTGTCTTTTTGGAGCTGTTGCCGGACTCCATTCCACTTATGCTCGGTCGGGGCCCTTCCTGTGGGCTTCTTGGCTTCGACTACAATGACCTCGTGAAGCCATTGTTTGTTCCTAGAATTGACCACAGACACAATCAGCCTTACTCTTCGATTGAGGGTAGTTAAGGTATTCTTACCTCTCTACAGTGTAATGAGAGGTCCGGAAGTAATGCTGCAGGATATTCTGCCAGACATGGTCGACCGGCTTCTGAGGCTGATGCTGGCCTATTGCTATTTGCGTTATGTACCTCCGGATCGGAGGGTAGTAACGTAAGGTTTGAGTTTGGGGGTCCCTGCTGCATCTTGAACTGATGTAATAAGAGTCGACGTTTCGAGATTTCCTTTTTGCAAGATTGCTAGAGGAAGAAATGTTGTTAGACGCCGAATCAAGAGAGGTGCAAGAAATGGGGAGTGCTTGTTCAGTATATAAACATAACTATGGTGTCACCTGACTACTAGTTTCGGATTTCTATTGCTATTCACTGGCCGGTATCCGATTCACTCATAACACCAACATCCGAAAGACTCGCCATCGACAAATGAGTGTTGCCTTCCTCAATTATATTTCACTCAGAAGGACCTAATGTTCAACATCATGCTACTAGAATGCACTACTGACATCAAGACCTTGCTCTTTGCAGGTTGAGCAATTAGTCTGTCCTATGTCTGCCCCTGCGAGTAGGTGCTGCAACTCGTGTACGGCCTACATGCCTGTGTAGTAAAGGTTTGGTTACTTTATTCTACCTACTATTCACCCTGCTGAACTTTGTTGAGCTTATTAGGGAGCTTCGAAGCTTACTTCGATTCCTATCACCATTTTTATCTTACCCTCTTTCCCAGAAATCGAGTTCTTCTTGATAAAAATGGAACAACCTACCCAAGTATGTCCTATCTATTTAAGAATATGAACTACATTATAAGATATGATACTAATCTTGGCGGCGTGCATAGGCCATCTTCCACAGCGCTGTTTTCCTCGCTGGGAGTTTCTCTGGGGCTGGTCCCCGCAAACGTGACCGGGTTGAGAAGCCGAAGAAGCCTGCCAAAGAGCAGAGAGACATCACGAAGATGTCCGCCGCGGAGAAGGTAATATCAACTCGCCTCAAAAAGATAAAGTCAATATAAGCATATTCTAATATATGGATCTAAAGAAGAAGGATATTGCCCACCTCCGGGCCGCCATCAAGAAGGAGGAGGAGCTGAAGAGAAAGAGGGAGAAAGTCACGGCCTTGGAGGCCTCAATCCTGGCCGATGAGGCAGACGACAAGCTGATGATTGAAGAATGAGGCTTCCTTTTTGTTTCCTTTTCCTTGTTTTCCTTTGTTTTTTTCAACGTTGAAAATAAATCAATGGCATATTTTATCGCCCTATATATCCAGCATAGCAAGGAGTATACTGCGTCTTCAATCCGACGTCTTTTCCCGCAACCAGAGGCCCGCCAATTCCCTTGCATCCTGCGAGTACCGAGTAAGAGTCACTTTACTCTCGCTGTATCCTTTTTCACGCCCCCAAAAGCAAGATCTTCGCATGACATCGACCATGTCATGGGCCTGCTGTAACAATACGCTGGAAGTTTTGATTCTCTTTGTGGATGACCCTTTGTGTTGCCTCACTTCCGAGTTGCCGTTTTGGTCCTTAGATTCAGGCACAGTGCCATCAGCATCAGCTTGAGAAAATATTCTCACCCAAGGGACTTCCATCTCGAGCCGCTTAACCCCATGGCTAGGGCTGTGCCACGCCGGACCACTATTCCCGTAATCGAGACCGAACGGAGGCCATCGGGAGAGCGCCTTTCGCCGACGAGGCGGACTTCGTTTCGTCTCACTGCCAGTAGACTCTGCCTCACTCATGCTCTCCTCTTCCCCGATATACACGTCCCAGAAATAATCGAGGAGATCATCCTCCGTGGATACACTATCTCTCGCCTTCAAAACAGGGATCGGGTACTCCGGACCGGTAAGATACTCCGGAAAGAAACGAGGAACATTCTTCCCTGGCGAGCGAAGAAATAGCAATGGCGACGCAAAGGCGTCGAAATATCTCTCAGGAGTGGAGAAGTATTCCTTTCTTGCTTTGAGAAGAGGGACAAGGTCGTGGGGTGCAGTTCCTCCTCCGCGAGGGCCTTTTCTGCTACTGCTGCTGCTTGGGACATTTCCATTAGCATCAGAGGATGGTGGTTGTTGAATGCAATGCTCATCAAGAGAAGTCCAGTCGCAGATGGGGTCAATGGCCGCTACTGCTTCGATGGATCGTGCTTCTGTAAGGGAAAGCATGAGTGCGAGCGAGCCGCCGATGTGCGTGCCTAGGATTACTAGGCGCTGGGGCTGAAGGGTCTGCAGGACCCAGTCGAACCCGGCGAGCGTGTCATGGATGGGTGTAGGGTATCTGTATGAGTTTTGGTTGAGGGTTAGTTGATTGGGAGTGGCTGGGGAAATGCCCAAGCGGTAGTTGACTGTTACTATTGTCGAGGACGTGATGGACGCTATTTGTGACAGTCGCTCGGCTTCTGCAGTGGGTGCATTTTCGCCGTTGTTAGCTGCCTGGGGGAAAGCTTCTCCAGATGATTGAGAATGAGGTAGGTTGAAGATTGTGCCTGCAGGAAGGTTGATAATGACGCGCTCATTGGGTCTTTTCGTCAGTGAGTTAGAATTAGGTGGGATTATTCTTGGTTCACTATCAGTACTGAGGTTGGTTTGTCTTCTGCGGTATATATATCAACCTACTTGAGTGCTATGGAACCGTTGTTTCCAACTGGAATGTTGACGCTATGGCTGTTATGGGAGAATAATGCGCGTCGCACCCAATGGCTAGATCGTAGATGATCGTGTCCATGTATGACACGGTAGCTACATAGTATACGAGACAAAAGACAGACTTTTGATGCAGAAGGCCTGCATAGAATCATGTCATAAAGTGGAAGCGAGGCGAAGTGAGATAGAGAATGGAAAAGGGATTGTTGAGTAGTAGTCGCAACTACACCCGTTACGGGTTGCAGCTCGGCGTGGTCTAACTTAACTCCGACCGCATACTTTGAGGATTTCAATAACCCCATTTCATATCTACTGGTAATCTCAAGCTTTATTGAGCCTTTTTAGGTAGAAAAATTGTAGTCAGCAATTTGTATTGTCAAAATTCACCGGTTTGTGTGACTAGTAGGGTTCATCATCATGGTCACGATGATATTGACCTTAGGTTAGACCAATTCGCACCCAAATATATAGTCCCAAACCCTTCCAATCGCATACGGATCACTGGAATTGTTCCGATCAAACCCAGCCCTAGCCAGTCTTTGATCCTCCGGAGTATTAAGCTCGAATCCCCGAGCCCGGATGCAACATCCGCACTGAGCCGTACAATGACCCAAGGCGTCAGGTCGGTCCATGCTCCGTGGCCTCTCGCAACATCCACAGTCGCGGCCACAGCATCCTCCTCTCCCAGCACAGTCCCGACGAAGATTCAATGTCATGCGCCCTTCAGGGTGCTTCCATCTTGTATCTAGCGCGCGTCGACAAGGCGAATTTGGAACTTTCAGACCGTAGATATATTCTTCTCTTTCGGTCCGCCAGAGCTCGCGAGTCAGCTCATCTAGTTCTTTGTACCAAGCCTCGAGTTGCTCCTGGTCATCCTCAGATAGCTGTGTTTTAGTAATTCGCTGACATTCCGCTTTCAAGAATGCTTCCCTTTGCAGAATTTCACGATGACGCATATCCTTTTCAAGCAGAAATAGCACAGCCTCGCAAGTTTTAGTGCAATTTATCATCTGCCAAATGACTTGCTTATAGCGCATTCGTTGAGCCGTCTTCCATCTTCCGGTACGCTCGAGATGGTTTTCTATCTTTATCAAGACTGGCTCGGCCCGGCAGGCAAGTGACCGTCTGAGTAGTCGCAGTAAGCTACTCATCTGGAATGTATGATCGGAGTGGTGGTTGTGGTAGATCGTGATCAGACGGCGTCTTAGCAAGAATCTTTGAGTTAAGCATTCGAACTGTTCAGAGAATTCTCCTGTTTTATGAGTCGACGATTATGGCAGTATTATGTCACCGTGAAGCTATATACTGTTCATCAAGACGTGATGATGACCGACATGATCACTCTATGCCAGCTGAGGTAGGGCCTCTCTTCTTGGCATTCTGGAGACTATACGCACCTTCCGAATAAGAAGGAAGGAACTAGTCCTTAGTTGAACTTACATCCTTCAACAACTAAGTACTACCGCTACCTGTTTGAACGATCTTGAGGGGTTTCACTAGTTCTGCATAATATACCACACCGCAGCAAAATACATTTCGCACAAGCTCTTCCCCGTTTCTCCTCTGATTCAGAGAGACTACAGCCGATAGATGAAGTTATCCAGTACTACTAGCTCCTCACCCGGGATATCCATCTCACCTCCGCCCTGGCTCCTCGATTCTTTGCAATATCTTGCACGGAACAAGCTCCTCGTTGCTGTTCTGTGTGCAGCCTTTTACTCACCTGTCTGCTCCTCCTGGGAGTGGCTATTTATGCTTCCGTAAAGTTCATTGATAGAAGGTACGTCAACCAAAAGTATATTGTGGGACAGATCTCCCTCTCTCTCTCTCTCTCTCCCTTTCCCCCACTTTAAGTATATCTGGCGGGATTTCCACGAGGAACAGGGCTAACTTACGATGTATCTATGTATATAGATGGCCGACTCCAACCCCACTGAGGGATTACACGCCCCAAACTCTTGAGGAAGTCCTGATATTGAACTCAAGACGGTCAGTGGGTAGTTATACACCCGCTGGGGCTTTGGGGGCAGATGCTATGCCTTCTACATATGAGGCAGGGAACAGCCGGAAATGAGGCAAGGCCTGGCTCCTTGGTTTCTTGCAAGATCTTATGGGGAACAAGCTGATTGTTGCTGTCCTGCATTGTCTATTACAGCAGGTCTGAACGGGCGCACCTCGTTACTTATCTATAATATCTTCTTTTCTATAGTTTCTTTGAAAGACACGAATATAAATATCGCTGCTTCCTATCATCAAAAGAGAGATCCCATCGTCTACGTAGCCTTAAATATATGCTAACAACTTTATATTGCCGGTAAAGACCAAATCTGCCTTCATTTCAGCCCCCTCTTACTGTGACCTCACCTGTCTCTCCTTCCTGTATCTAGAGGGAGTCTACGCATCTTGATTACCTCACAAAGATGACCATTCCTTGACTGCTCCTGGTAGTTTCCCAATGTTGATTACGAGATTCTTTAGTAACTTCCTCTATGGGAGGTTTTGCTTGCGAGAGCAGGAGCAAACCTCAGTATCAAAGAAAGAAGGAAGCTGGCTGGCGTGACGTCGTTGCTTCCCCATTCTGCACTAGTTGCCACTTTTAGGCCATTGTTGGACATTAACATGGAAGGTCCTGCTAGTAATGGTGCAAATGCACCTGCCGCATAAGTCGAAATCAAGGATGTATTAAGGTTCTACTGAGGAAAACACACGGTCGTTCCTACTTGCTCCCTAGCAACCAGGTTACTTGCAACATAACATCCAGAAACGGAACTTATAGACTAACC